CTTATAAGAAACTTAAAATTTTTTTCTTATAATATAAATATAAATACTATAAAAAGATAATCCTTATTTTTAAATATAATTATATGAAATTTTATTTAAATATTTTAAAAATTAAAAAAAGTAAATCATAACTGAATTTATACTATTTTTAGGCTAAAATTGTTATATGAACTCTACAGCTTAAGGGATAGTATTAGTTACTATATTATCTTTATTATTGTATTAGTTATAAAAATATTATTGGCTAGTTAACTGAGGCACAGTATTGCCACATAAGTATCTGTCAGTACCTTTACACAAGTACCTGCCAGTACCTCTACACGAGTACCTCTCAGTACCTCCATACAAGTACTTCTTAGTACCTTCACACAAGTACCTCTCAGTAGGGTTCCAACCTGGATTGAAAATCTCTAACCATGACCTATCAAGTGAAAACCGGTTAATATCCAGTTATCTGAAATTAAACCCGGTTGTCTGAATAAAGATGGGTCACCCGATTGTAATCGGGTAACCGGATACTCGGGTCACCCGATTAAAACGGATAATCTAGTTAATAATATTCAACCTGATGACCCGAAGCTAAACTGGTCACCTGATCCAATATCTAGATCTGATTAAAATGGTTATTACTGCTATTTTCATTATTTATAGAACCCGATTTGATAAGTTTTTGATTCAGCAGTAACATAAACTTATGATTTGGATATGATTGAACCAAAATCAAAAACTAAACAAACAATCATTCGATCAATTTTTTATTAGATGTCCCAAATCCAATCGATTAAAATAGATAAGTGTGAACTAGTATAGATAAAATTTTTTTTATTCCCAAGTATTATTCATTGTGAAACGCCAAGTAGTTGTACTTAGATCTATTTTTTTAATTTTTAGTACATTTGAAAATAGCCGGAAAGTTGTAAACTTTTCGGTTATAGCGATCAACAAAATCAAAAATTTCTATATTAATGGGGAATTTTAACATTTTACATAATATTTATTCACAATTAGCAATTTTAATAATCAAAATCTTGGTGCTACAAATATTAAATGAGAGAAATAAAATAGAAGTGCCTGAAAATTCTATTTAATAATAAAATAAAGATTTGATTTATTAAAATATAAATACTTTTAACATTTAAAATGTAATGATAAAATATAAATTACATTACTATTTGTAAGATTTACTGCGAGTTTACTATAAATGTAATAATAAAAGTATTTATATAAAGCCTAAAAAAAAAAATATTAAATAGACACCATAACTATTGATTAAAACAGTGCTTTAAAAATATAAAATAGAGCAAGCACGTACATATTTATTCTTACTAGTCATAGTCCAATTAATTTGATTAAACATATTTTTGCCTATCTTACTGTAAAAATCTTTAGATCTCATTATTACTAGCCCAAATTATAATTGTATTTATAATTGCTTAACATTTGTACTTTTATAATTCTATTATGTATTTTTTTTTTTTTTTTATAAAGTAATATCATAACTTTTTTTTTCTTTATAATAAATTTCAATTCATTACCATTTTTGGTTGTGCATTATTTGATTGATTTTAACTTTTTTTTTCTGGATCCGTGTTTATAATTCGTCCGGATTAAAAATAGGAAAATGTTGCATGTTGTATTTAAGAAATATTATTTGCTCAACTATATCAGGATAAAGCCTATTGCATAGTGCAGTGATGTGTAATCCAGCATCAGAAAATAATTGCTCTGAGGGGACCAAAGTTGCTAGTACTGACAAATATTTTCGAGCCAGGCACGATAACACAGGATATTTTTTAGATCTATCTTTCCACTATGTTAATGAATTACAGCCACTTTTCTCAATACATTTCCGAAGATAATGATCAACTTTGGTCTTATCATAAATTTTATTATCCAAATCTTCACTATTATATAAAGCTGCAATTAAACTATTGGTTGTTGCAAGTTCACAAGATAACGTGCTAGATGACTTATCAAGCCTAATTGAAGGTTGGTAGTATTCTTTCTCAGTACAAAGTGCTCACACCATATTAAATGTGGCTGTTCTTGTTGTTTAATTTCCAAGAAATTTCATATTTTTAATTTGTAGGTCCAAAAATGATGCCACAAGTCCAATTTTCTCAGGAACTTCCCAATATTCATTAAGAGAAAGGTAGCTCACAGCCTTAACTAGTTCATGTAGATTTCCATTAGTAACAGGTGGCTCAATTAACCAACGACCTTTAAATCATAGATCATTAGAAGTATTTTTTTTGACTTTATTATTATTTTTTTTTTTTCGTCCTTTTGCTACTTGTAATGGTTATCGAAGTTGCTCTGAAATTACTAGCGTATCGAATTCATTTTCGATATCAGATTTAGGATTATCTTCCTCAATTAATTGGCTTTGACTATAAAAATAATATGATAAAAAAAGTAAATATAAATTTGCTACTCTTGAAAAATTTTTTTTTGTCACAGACGATTATGAAATCAGATGATAGTGAAATTTGGGAATAATACTAGGGATGGGCTATTAAATTACATATTCTTACTTAATTTTACTAAATATTATACAAGATTAAGTAATAATAAGTGATGCTTATGCTGTTTCTATTTTTAGCAGCAAATATAATTTTTATTAGCGAAAACAAAACATGGCTAAATCAGTTTTTTAAATCGATT